GGGCTTATCCCCAGAGATTCTGATTTAATTGGTCCATAATGGACTCTAGCCTTTATGTTGTAAAAGCTCTCAGGTGTGGCCTTGTGTGGTGGCTCATGCCTATAATCCCAGCACTTTGGGAGGCTGAGGTGAGAGGACTGCTTGAGGCCAGAGTTTAAGACCAGCCTGGGAAACAGCAAGATTCTGTCTGTATGAAAAAGTAAGAAATTCACAAGGCATGGTGGCATGTGCCTGTAGCCCCCAGATACTTTGGGAGACTGAGGCTGGAGGATTGCTTGAGCTCAGGAGTTTGAGGCTGCAATGATCCTGTCACTGTACTTCAGCCTGAGATGACAGAGCCAGACTCTCCTCTCTCTCTCTCTCTCTCTCTCAAAAAAAAGAAAAAAGAAAAAGACCAAAACAATACTTCCAAGTGGTGTTTGTAATGTGCACCGAATTCAATCACTGCTTCTCAAACACTAACATAGAAAATTACCTGGAGATTTTGTTAAAATGCAGATTCCTTCTCTAGGTCTGGGGTAGGGCCTGAGATTCTACATTCCTACCAAGCTCCAGATGAGTGAAGCTGGTGCTGTCAGTCAGGGCCCACACTGTGAGTAGCAAGTGACTGATGATCTGTGATGGTGGTTCTCAAGCTCCAGTGCTCATCCTAAAAACCCCTGGGCTTGTTGGAATATAGCACTGAAGCCTGGGGCTGGCCCTCCCAGGGTCTCTTTTTCTTGGTTTAGGAAGAAACCTAAGGGAGTCATGGTGTCCATTTTAGCCTAAAAAATCTCATGATGTTAATTTTGTGTTTTTATGTCTTCTCTTCCAGTTTAATTGTTCACTACAAAACTACCGAGTCTGAAGTTGAGAGTGTGGGGTAGCACTGTCAGAAACCTGAAAGACGGATGAGCTCAAATTATGTGATGTCAAGACATGTTGATATTTGAAGCCAGATGTATCTCCAACCTCTGGGGTTCTCCTTTTCAGTTAAAGGGGACTTTCACAGAACTCCCTTCCTGTTAGGATTTACTATTGGCAAATGACTCACTAGTTAATCAAGAGAGCCTCCTTCACTGACAGGAGGCAAACAGGATGACGCTGGATATTTTCTGCTCTCTGCAACACATCATACCTTCTAAAGCAGAATCATGAGAGAGGCAGCTGATCTTCCCTACCTTGAGGTCAAACCAAGGGAAAATAGAGGTAGGAGAAGATAACAGGTTATTTATTCAGAAGAACAGATCAGGCACCTTTGAAAGTCTCAGGGACTTCCAAAAGAATCTGTCCCACGATAAATTGCCTTTTTACTTCTTTTTCTTCTCACTGTCCTGGATTCCTCTTGCTTTAACTAGTTAAACATCTTCTACTCAGGAGATGGCTATTGCCACTTTCCAAGAAAAATTTAAGAAAACAACTCTGTGGGGATTAAAAACATAATTCCGGCATTGTGGCTTTGGATAAGTATTTTGCACGTGATTAATACAGAAGGTGTTATCTTCCTGGAACTTTATGAGTTTGTAAATAAATTGATATGAGGCTGTCATGTGGGAAACAAGAGAAACTCAGGTTTTCTTGCTTTCCCCTTTAGAAACATTTGACATCTGTAACACACTTGATCAGTCTGTAAAAATAACTGCATAATAGTGAGAATAGACCACTCAAAAATGCAATAATCACACAACAGGTTAGTCAATCAAGCCTTAGGTCACCCAAGTTTTAGATACTTAAGCCCATACTGTACTTTCAAGCGGGCCTTCTTTTTAGAAGAAATTATCAAATTGGGGCCACTTGACCTTACTAATATCCTCTGCACTGGCTGGACTGGCTGAATAGAGAACCACCACGTGGAGTGATTCAGCAACAGCATAAGACAGTAATTGTCTCAAACGTGTTTCTCAAGAGCTAGCCACCAAATTGCCCTCCTTCACTGGTCCTTGGAGCCTTGCCATTGGTTAGATGCAAGCTTGAGTCATGGCAATGCGTGCATCTGGTTTGGATGCAAAGGGTGCAGGCCATGGTACACTAAGGCTTTCACTCATTCACTGTTCCTTTATAAGGCCTAAGGGGTACTGGTTTTCCAGGACATACTGTGGAGTCTGTGCAAAGGGGAGGAAGTCACAGCGGAGGAACCCATGCAATGCAGTGCCAAGTGCCAAGAAATGGTAAAAGCAGAACTTGAGGAAGGAGCTTCCCAAGGTGATAGATCCTGTGTGCTGGGGATCTGAGGAAGGAGTCAGAGGGAGAGAGGCTCTCATCTTTAAAATGAAATGAAGGACAAGACAGATGGGGAGCAGCAAGATGAGCTATTTTTCAGTTTTGCCCTGAGTTGGATTTTGACAGGACAAGAAATGAATCACTGCATTTTTATATGTATTTAAAATTTCTATTTTTTTGTTGTTGCTAGAAATAGGTTTAACTTTTATCAGATCACATTTCTTGCTTGCAAGGCAGCTTCATTATGAAGCTTTTTTTTTTTTTTTTGAGACAGAATCTCGCTTTCCTGCCCAGGCTGGAGTGCAGTGGTGCACCCCCCGCTCACTGCAACCTCTACCTCCTTGGTTCAAGCGATTCTCCTACCTCAGCCTCTCAAGTAGCTGGGATTACAGGTGTGTGTCACTGTGCCTGGCTAATTCTTGTATTTTTAGAAGAGACGTGGTTTCACTATGTTGGTCAGGCTAATCTGGAACTCCTGATCTCCAGTGATCCACCGGCCTCGACCTCCCAAAGTGCTGAGATTATAGGCAAGTGCCACCTCACCTGGCCCATTATTAAGTTTTACACAGAAGAGGAGGGACTTTTGCCAGGGATTTTTACTTTATTGATTTGCTCATGTATAGCAGTTCTTATGTGACAGATACTGTTTTAAGCACTTTAAAACCTTACTTCATTAATGCTCTTAACAACCTATGAATTAGGAACTATTACTGTTTCCATTTTGCAGAGGAGCCTGCAACCACTATATTATCCTGTCTCTAGTGCTGAGGGCAGTGTTCCTGTTCCAGGGTGGAAGAAGAGAAAACGGGATTAGGTGGACTGGTTTGTAAATGCTGCCCCTAGACTAATGAACTGGCTGGGTAGCTATCCCTGGAGTTCTTGCTTAAAATGCAAATTCACAGGCCTTATACCTGGATGTTTGATTCAGGAAGACTGGGGTTTTGAAACACTGACCTAGACGATGTATGAGGAACCCCCTCCCCTCTCGCAAATCCAGGAATCCTTGATTGAAACATCATCTGATTAATATGAACATGACTCCAGGGAGCAGCAGTAGCTTATGCTACCACCTCCTATGCATTTTCTAGTCCTTCCAGCTCTGATGTCTAAACCACAGTCACTGATGGTGACAATTCTGACCACTCCACCCCCAGCTCCATCTGCTGACAACCAGAATGCTGCCTTGAGTCCTCTGAGCCTCCCACACCCTGCCTGCTTTCCTTCCGTAAGAGCTCGGAGCCCACAGTCTTCTTAAAGCCTTAAACCATCCCCACTGCAAGACCAAGTGGACATCTTTATTCTCTATAATTAACTGCCGCCCCCTCCCTTTCTGTTTTGCAGATGGCTATGCGGTTCAGGGGGAAGACCCCGCCACAGAGAATTATTGTCTCATTCCAGTTGGATGGACCAATGATGGAGCAATGTGTGACCTTGGCTCTGGAGAAGGGATTGAACCTAACCTCATTCCCCACCCACTTCCAGCCTCCTCCATTCTACATCTACTTCCAGAATCTTCTTACTTGCAGACCCCGAAAAGGTTGGAGGTCCTGGCCAATCTCTCATTCTTTTCCTTCTGACTCACATTTTTATGTCTCTTTAAGTGGCTGAGAATAGCCATGTTGACTCCATACACCCAGAAGGTTGAGAAGAATTAGCTATTATATCACTTTTGCTAATTTCAGCTATGCTGATGGGCACACAGACCTCAGCAAATCAACTAGATCATTTGCAACCCCTCTTGACTTTAAGAAGACTGAGTCATGCCCTGGGAAATGGAAGCAGAGAAGGAGATGGCTTGCAAGCCCCCCCGAGTTTACCACGATAAATTGGCTTGAGAGGGAGGTAAAAGCAATTCAGAAGACCACTTGGGAAAGCCCAGGCAGGGTATTATCAGTGACTGTGTGAAGTTCCCCTCACCATCTAAAGTGAAAGATGCCAGAATTATAAAAACTGACTGCATTTTCTTCTCAGTTCTGCTTTGTGACTTCTAAGAATTCAATTGCTTTTCTATTTTAAAATAGGGACATTGTCCTCCTTCTAAATGCATCACCTGCACCATTTGGGACATGCCCATTGTCAGGTTGCCTTGACTGAACACCTTAAATATTCCATGGAAAACATAAAATATGTAAAAAGGAATCTCCTCCTTGTCATGAGATCCCATATAACACCCCAACTTCTTTCTTCAATGTGGTGGAAAAAACATTCTAAATGCCCCAACAGAAGGGCAAGAAAACTGGAGCCTAAATGACCATCTTGAAACATGTAATAAAAACAGACACATCAGCCACACTTCCCAGCAGGCTTTCTCCCCGAATGTATACTGGTAATTCTCTGAGGCAGTAACTGAATTCAGGTAAAATAGAGAAGGCAGCTATTGAGAAGCTCAACACTCCTCTCAGGAGACCTAATTCTGCCAGATTCCAGTCCACTAGGTCACAGTGCCCTAAGATTCCAAGTGCTGTGGCTGCAAAGTGGGAATTCTCCAAGGGGAAAACCATTCCTGACTCTTTGGATATAAGTATTGGACACAAGGCAGTGGGAAATTATTTCTGACATAGCTTTCTGAGGGGCGCTTGCATCAACAGTTGGGTATTTTTTACACCACATCCAAGAAGTGTGGATTTATTTATTCTATTATATGCCTGCCTCAATTCCAGCAGCAGTTTGGTAGAGGTTGCCAATTTAGAAATATCAGTTATTAAACTTTCAGAGCAAAGCTTTAGCAACTACACCTGACATGGCTATTCATATAAAACCAACATGCAAATGAGAGAAATTTCTTTTTCTGATTTTATTACCTTGAGCTCCCTGGCTGTAGAAGAATCTTTGAGCTGACTCAACATCCAAGAGTCTATGAGCAGACTCTACGTCCAGAAAATAATCCATTTTGGGGTAATCCATCCTTGGTGTTCCAAACACGGAGTTCTGAGAGAAAATGTTCACTTGAATATCTATAAAGAGGGAAAAAATACACAATATTTTAGATGTCAAGTATAAAGTGTCCATATATACTTTACAATGTTTCAATAGGAACATCCCATTATAATATTCTACTATTTGCCTGACATTTCCAATTCTAAAGCCACCCCTCAGCATAGCTTCCCTACCGTATGAAAAATTGCAGCATTTAGCCAACATTCATTAAAAGTAATATATTCTACCCAGGAAAAACAGATGATCCGATCTAAAGAGAAATAACATACCAGTCTTTCCTTGCTTTGTATTCGCTGGAACATATACTGTTAATTTCACATGCTATCGGTTTACAAAAGCTCTATCTGATAAACAGCATCATTAAGTGTTACGCGTTGTGAGTGGTGATCTTCAGCTGATCCTGGGACTTTTGGATTCCCCCAGAGCAGGGAAAATCGCCTGGGAATCTAAGCCTCCACTCATAGAAGCCTTGCGTTTATGACACGCACTGACATATTTGCTGTACAAATGCTTTGAATTCCTTCCTTTTGGGTAATTGCCTTCAGCACATTTTATAAAGTGCTACAGGATCGTCACCTGCCTGTGCCTGGCAGGGGCTGCTTTTGAGAAATAATTGTGGTTGGTAAAGCAGCAACAATGATTGCAGCATTGCAATAATCCCTATGACATTATCATACTCTAGCCTGTCACAAAGCTAATATACTTCCCCAGAAAACATTCAGCCTGTTGGGTTATTTTTTCAAGCCTATGTAGCCTTTCCCTGATACTTGCACAACTGAATTATCTCTATTTCTGCAGAATATTTTTTTTAGAAAGAATTAACAATACAAAGTCATTCAAACCAACCTCAGAAGGCTTATCCAACTGGTTTCTTTAACTGTATATATTTTAATTTAAGAAACCAAGTCCGGTAAGACAAACTTTTACAAATACCCAAAGGTACCCCAATAGCCAATATACTTACTGCAAAAAATAAAAACCCAGGGCTAACTGTCGGCGGTAAACCAAGAGCCGTTCCAGCCAGAGTGTCTTTGATCTTGCTAAATATTCCCGGTGAAAATAAACGATTTTGATTGTTTGATTAGAACAGTGATGAATAATGCATACAGTCCACTGGACTTCCTTTATCAGATAAAATGGCCAGAGCACGTTACCTTAGCAACGGAAGGTGACGCCAGCCTCAGCCTCTGCACCCTCCCCTGCGAAGGAAGAAAATTACCAGTTTCCCGTGTAAAACTTTGGCAGAAAATCATCAAATCCACATGTGTACATCACGCAGGGCTATTCCCCGGCCCCCCATCTCTTATGCAGAGAAGTGTCAATAGTCATTAAAAACACAGATTTATGTCTTCATAGTTTATTTTTATAATCCCAAATCTTAGTTTGATTTGCAGCCACAAAAGAATAGGTTAGGAAATGATTAAAATTTTAATATATAGAAAAGTTGTATAGAAACTGTTGTGGGGGCACCGGTTCTCACCCTAATGCTGGCCTAAGAGTGGCAGGGAATTTGGGGGGAGTTTACGGAAAGGCCATTTTAGCTTAGCATATGTTAGACATTCCCCTGTTATAATTAATACACAGAACAGCCACCGGCATCCAGGCTGAAAATAACTCTTCCCTTCTGTGAATCAGTCACTGGAAGAAGCTTAAAAAGCTGTCTGAAATTTCCCAGATTCTGAAAGATGCATTATAGCATAGATCTTGTGGGAGATCCCCCCCACAGCCCCACCATCCCCTGCAAAGGAAAACTAGCCAGAAAGATATAAGAAACGAAGAGTAGAGATTAGCAGATACTCACCGGCACTTGTTGACCTCTTTCAACAGGACACGATAGAGTACAGAACAAAGCAGTGTGACGCTTCTGAGCCCACAAGCCCAAATGAACAGCTTCTAATTTTCCCTTCACTCTTGTTTCAAGAACACTGAGCAGAGGGAAGTGATGGATTTGCCCATTTATACTGTGATGAAATGCAACCCCTAAGAAGAGATCTGAGTGGAGCTGCTCTTTAGAACACATTAGACTGCTAATTTAAGAAAACTGAAAGGTTTTGTTTTACTGTCTTTTATGTGCTCTTCTCTGCTACCCCCTCAATTTAATTTGCATTTAAAATTATTCTCATGTCTCCCCGGCTCCCAGGTGTGGAGCGCTTTCTAATCACGAAGGCTGCTCCAGTAGAGCTTGTTGCAACCCCACTTTTATCCTGAGCTGCACAACAAGGCAGGTAGTTATAATTGGGAGCTGTTTTCTGGGGCGAAATACAGAGGGCACGTTTGATGCCACCCCTTCCCTCTTGCCTGGCTTTCTTCCTTTCCTTGCTTCCAATTGCCTCGTCAAATCTCCAGCACAAATCATGCCAGTGTGCCTGCATGCATTTCTCCCTTTCAAATGTAACAAAAGAATCCCAACAACAAAAATAAACTTTGGCTAGTATCTCAAGTTATTCTAGTTCAATATCCTTCCTACCAAACCTCAGTAGGGACTTTTAGGCACAATACTTTAAGACCTTCATGAAAGGCATAGTGACAGCCAAATATAAACCCTACTGTGGATTTTCCACAATCCTCTTGCGCCTTTTGTTGACCAAAGAATTGGTCATCAGTAAGGTGTAGTGTACAGTGGGTCAGCTGGTCAAGAAAAAAGAGATTAAATTTGAGAAGCCTCAGGAGGAAGACCATCAACACTCACCGCCACCACCACCGCCCCGCCCCGCCGCCCCACTCCCTCTACACAGCTTAGCTGTCTGCCATTGAAACAAACCTGAAAATCCTCTGCTGTTTCTCTTGTGGGCTCTCCCTTTCCCACTGATCAGAACAACTCAGACACCAAGCTGGTGCTGCAGATAGTTAGGCCTCATGAAAGCAGAAGCTGAAAGTACCAGTTGTAGGAAAGTCAGCTATGAACTCTGAATTCTCAAAGCTTTGCTGCAACCCAAGGGCTGACTTCTCTAAGGTTACTCTTCTATTCAGCACCCACCGGAGACATGCTGAACACTTGACATTTATAGGAGGAGAAAGCTGTCTTCTGGTTCCTTTCACTTACTGTGAGGTGTGGGCGACAGGTTCTGAACTCATTATTATAATCCTGTTGAAACTGTAATGACTCATAGGTAAGAGAGAGAGAGTATAAATCTATGCTGCTGACCAAGCCTTTAGGTGAGTGCAAATGAACGTGTGATTGAAGAAAGAGATACTAAACTGGAAATGTGAAAAATAGAGTTGATTCCCAGGGGTAGGTAGCAGATTTGGAAGTCAGTCATTTCTGGGGAGTTGTTCCCAAGAAAGAGAAATTTAAAATAGTTTACAAAGTGAACACATAATATGAAAGGGTCATGATTTAAGAAAACTCTGAAGGGAAAATTTGAATTTAAAGAAATGTGTTTGGGGCCAGGCATGGAGGCTCACATCTGTAATCCCAGCCCTATGGGAGGCCAAGGTGGGTGGATCACCTGAGGCCAGGAGTTTGAGAGAAGCCTGGCCAACATAGTGAAACCCCATCTCTACTAAAAATACAAAAAGTTAGCCAAGAGTGGTGGTGGGTGCCTGTAATCCCAGCTACTTGGGAGGCTGAGCAGGAGAATCATTTGAATCCAGGAGATGGCGGTTGCAGTGAGCTGAGATCATGCCACTGCCCTCCAGCCCAGGTGACAGAGCAAGATTCTATCTCAAAAAAAAAGAAAGAAAGAAACAAGAAAAAAGAAATGTATTTGGGAAGGGGATGATTATTAATTTGCAAACAGGGACTTACTTTTACTAAATAATTACTGTGTTCTTTAGCATCATATGACCAACTTCTGAAATAGATTTTCAAAAAATGATCTCACTCTGTGGAACATAGCTATAGATTACATATAGGTGTGTGTGTTCAAAAATTATTTTTAAAGACGGTGAAGCAAGCAATGTTCAAAAGCCAATGTCAAAATCCGATCAGTTCAATTCTGTTTTGTAACTTTAAACCGCTCCAAAGCAACACTTATGATGATCTATTGTTCTGAGAAATAATAAAATCAGAGAGGAAGGCAAGGTTAGATCAAGTATTCACATTAACATGTATTCAGCACTAAACAATTCAACCCAAAATATCCTCAAGATTTCAGCTCTGCAAAACTTAACTGTTAACATATCTCTATGACCTAGAAATAAAAGATTATTTTGAAAAATTCCAAAATACAGCCATATCTTTTACATGAATGCCATTAAAATACGAAAGTGTAGAACTGTAAGATTAAAACAAATAATCTAGAATTATTAAAAATACATGATAGCAGAGAGAGATATACTTTTCTATATTCAGTCTGATTGGAAGAGGATATGTATGTGAGTATTCTATACACTAACAGGTATATTCAATTAATTCAAAATAGAGGTATATTTCATGATGGAATCTAGAGGCAAATAAAGATATCACCTTGTATATATTTTGGGGGTGTTCTTCTTTTCCTATTGGATGGCAAAAGACCCAAACATTCTGGGAGAGATCATATTATTTGAAAGCAGATAACTTGCTCTTTTTACATTACACTGTTGACTTTGATTGGAGCCAGTCTGGGTTGATCCTCCTTGCTAAGAGATAAAACACTTCTTGCTTATGATTTTACAATGGATTTTCCTTGTTTAATTGCCTTATATTCCAGAGCTATCTAGAAAACCATGTTTTATATTTGTGTTGGAGTATTTGAGGTTTGGCCTTCTACCTAAATGAAATCCTGGAGAAGATTCTTTTTTTGCTAATAAATCCAACTAACTTAAAAATATTAGAGGTTCTCTTTCTTTCTTTCTTTCATTTCTTTCTTTCTTTCTCTTTCTCTCTTACTTTCTTTCTTTCCCTTTCTCTTTTTCTCTCTTTCTTTCATTTCTTTCTTTCTCTCTCTCTCTCTCTCTTGCTCTCTTTCTCTCTTTCTTTCTTTCCCTTTCTCTCTTTCTCTCTTTCTTTCTTTCTTAGATGGAGTCTTGCTCTGTTGCCCAGGCTGGAGTTCAGTGGCCTCAGCTCACTGCAACCTAGAGGCTTTCCCAAGATGTGATGATATTTTGGATCTGTTGGTGTGGTACCTAGATTAATAATCTTTGGTGAAGTGCTAGCTTGCTAGACAATCACAGAAAACAATATTCATTCATTTTTGCAAAGATCTGACCCCAGAATGTTTCAATAGTGGTGGCTCCCTTTGCTTGGTAAGTCACTTTATCTCTCAATCCCTCCCTCAAAGAATTTCTTTCCTTTTTTTTTCTTTTGTTAAAAAATTTACAGTGATGGGGTCTTGCTATGTTGCCCAGGCTGATCTAGAACTCCTGGCCTTAATTGATCCTCCTATCTCAGCCTCCCAGAGTGCTGGGATTATAGGCATGGCCTCCTTTCTTTTTTTTTAAAGGCTTGTCATTAACTGATAAAGGTAGTGCAAACATTTTATCTAGGGCTTTATTCATATTGAAATCTTGCTGGTAGAGAAAACATGTTAAGCCATCATTAGTTCTTTTTACTTGAGAGTAATTGAACTTCCAGTTCTTTCTTGTAAATAAGTTTTGATGATAGTTAGAAAGCTAAAGAAGGCTGGGAGGATTGGGAAGGTGTGTGGAGAAAGAAGTTCTCAGGGAAGAGGAGCTTAATTCCTTTCCATGTAAGCCTACAGTCATATTTTGAGGGCTTCCTTAAGTTTAACATACCTGGTATTCTGCTGGCAGAAAAGGGCATTACATTTGTTAGCATCTCCATTTGAACAAGGGCCTGAAGCTGCCTTATAGATACAGAGGTGGATTCATTAATTATGTTCAATAACATTATGCCAAAGGGGTTTCCCCTTGGGCCATCCTCAGTTAGCAGGAAAAGTCTTCACACCAAAACCACAAAGCCCTCTGCTCTTGAAACTGCCCTGGAGAGAATCACACTGGACAAGGCACACACTGGACAATATGGCGGGGCCAGAGTCAGGCAGAGGACATCATTTGGCTCTGCTCGCTGTCCACTTCTGAAAATATCCTTTCCCCTCTGTTAGTACTTAGTAGAAAAGTCAATGGAAAGAGTAAAGAACAAAAGTCCAAATGTCATCTTACCCTTCTACCAACTGGATTCTAGTAAGTTGATCTTGCTTATAATATGGAAATCTTTTAGTTTGGAAGAAAGAATAGTCAGATTCAGTCTCCAGCGCAGTGCCCAGGTCATTCATCTAGGGATAGGGGAGTGGAGGGATGTTGAGTAAAGAGACAAAAAGTTCTCTAGTAACTCCCTGCTTACTAGAGAACTTACTAGAGTAACTAGAGAGTCAAGTACCTCTCAAATACCTAAATAGGAAGACATTAGAACTACCATCCAATGATGGCGAAGTATGTTGACAATAGTAACTTTTAACATGAATTTTAGGATACATAATTATGATATTTGACTTATTCCATCTGGCAACAAAATCACATTGCCCTCAATTCTTTCATTCTCTCTCCTCTCTCTCTCTCTCTCTCTCTCTCTCTCTCTCTCTCTCTCTCTCTCTCTCTCTCTCTGTGTTTGTGTGTGTGTGTGTGTGTGTGTGTGTGTGTGTGTGAGAGAGAGAGAGAGAGAGAGAGATTTATTTTTGACTCTTTCCTGGAGAAGGCTGACAAATTAATCACAAGTTTGCTAGTGGGAGGACTAGCCCTTTCCTAGTCCCCCTAAAAATCCAGATAGCAACCTGAAAATATCCAAAGACATAGTCAAGAAAGAACAATAATCTCTAAGAGCCACAAATCTAATAGACCCTACATAGATGATATGGCCCTTGAGCCTCCGAAGCACACTGAACAAATAGGATTGAATACAGTCTTGAGAGCCCACAGGGAAGGAGGGAGTGTGGGTTGTATCTAAATAGTAAAGAACTTAGATGACTCATCCCTTTTAGCTTTAAAAGACATGGACACATTCTACAGCAAAGTCTGTATGCTTACGTATTAATACTTAATGTGTTTCTTATGTATGTGTATGTGTAAGAACATTTAATGCATATTTTTGTATAATAATTATTATTCATAACATAGTCCCTAGTTTAACTTGTTGTTCAGAGGTAAATGCTTTTAGGATCTGTCACCTGAAGGCATTGAAGAGTATCATATCACAAGCATTAAGTTTCCAAATAATAATTCTCTGCTCCTAGTTGATTAGAAGACTCAACTCCTCCCTCATAAAAGGAATGCCTTTATTTGTCTTTCCTGAAACAAAGAGAACCTTGTTGGCATTCATGGCATTTTAATAGATCATAAACATTATTACTAAATGAA